CATAGCACTATTATTTTTACAAAGTTACAAAATATGTAGTTTTATGATACAATAACTTAAATCCGTAGTTTCGTGAAAATTTTAGTGTTAAATCTGTAGTTTTGTGATACTCATTTTTCAATCTATAGTTTTATGAAACTATAATAGTTTGATCAATGCGTTGTCTTGTTTCAAAGTTTATTATGGTTTGATTTTAGACGAATTCCAAAGGTACTAAAGTGAACGTCCTTTATTTCCAAGTCCCATTATTTCGCTTATTCGTATACTTATACGAATCTCTTATTAGCAAATAAAAAATATTTATGAGTAAAACCTATATATTTGTGTCCTTAGCGGCTTAAAAAATGCAAAAAAAAATCAAATTCAAAATCGAGTTATATAACTTAAATTTTGACTTATAACCATAAGAAAATGGGTTAATTGGATTATGCCATTACAAATTTGCCTATTCAGAAAAATGTCATTATCATAGCCGTGTCATTTGTATTTTACAAAATTAGAACCGTACCACTTCCATCACATTTTCCATCTATCCCCTTCCTTTTCCGTCTTCTTCCTTCTTTCTCCCATCTTCTTCCCTCCGCCGCTAGCTGCGCCTTTCCTCACCAGTGGCTGTCGCCTCCCCTATTGCCTAGGCATAGCGACAGCGAGAGCTGAACCTGGTCCCGGCCCAACCTCACTGGCTACTGCCGCCTCCCCTATTTCCTAGGCACACCGGCGCTGCGTTGCTGCAAGGGGGTGGATGTAGACAGCGTGAAGCCGGCGGAATCCACTGAGGGAGAGCACAACAGCCCCGGAGCTGCTGCTTGGAAAAGCCAAGGTCCGCCCACTCCCGTACGCGCATGGCCTCCTAGAGCCGCTCGTCCTCCACGAGCTACCGCCACCACCAGCTCACACACACCATGGCCGCTAGCATCCGCACCTCCGCTCATCGTAGCACCTCAAACACCAGGTCCTCCCCAAGATCCCAGAACCCTCGGTTGCTCACCCTCTCCTGCATCCTCCGGAGGCTACTCTTGCTGCTGTTGTTGTTGCAATGGCGGCTACAAGTAATGGGGGTGAAAACAGGGTGGGTATTTCCCGCCCGCCCGCCCGGCCACATTATTTCGAGACAAATTCGGATACTCAAGACTTTTCTCGGACATCGGGTCCGAATGCGGGTCTTTTTTGGCGGATACGAGATCGGGTTCGGGAACATCGTATCCGACGGATACAAATTATCCAGTAAAAAATCCGGGTATTACCTGGATAATTATACAGATATTACCCATATTATATTTTTGTGAGGCACTTTTTGGTACTATTTATTGGTTCTACTATGATGTATTGTACCATATTTATTTTCTAAGGTCATAATAGCCTAATACAATTGTATTATGGATATATGGAATTGTTAAATGGTTATTGTCTATGTGATATATAAGATTGTTGCTTTGACTTGATATCCAAATAAATATTCGTAACTGATAGTGTACGTATCTATTTTGGTACGTATTCGTTCCGTATTTTGGCCCGACATTACCTGAGTTTGTATCTATATTCGATACTACCCATGTCCGGCTCTATTCCGATTATAAAATATGGGTTAGTATATGGGAAGGGTGAGATCCGACCGAACCTGACCTGTTTTCACCCTTAGCAAGGAAGAGGAGGCCTCACCCTGGCTCGAATTAGAGGACGGATCAGTCCACTGCCTCTTGGCTGGCTCGTCGGAGCCGCCATCACCAGCAATCGGAGCACGGGGCTCATCACCGCCTGACGAATCAGAGCAAAACTTCATGGTGCCTGAGGAGGGAAGAAGATGGGAGAAAGAATGAAGAAGATGGAAAAGAAAGGAGATGTATGGAAAACGTGATGGCAGTGGCACAGTTCTAATTTTGTAAAATTTCAGTGGCACGGCTATGAATAAATAAATTGGAATGGTATTTTTCTGAATAAACCAAATTTGCACGAATTCAAATAAACCAAATTTGTAATGGCATGGATCCAATTAACCCTAAGAAAATTAGCCCTTCTGCAATTAAGGAACAGCAACACGCAATTGTAAGATCGAATCAATGGTGCTCCCGACGGAATGTATCAGAACAGGTCTTCCAGAAAGATGCATCATCCCTCCCCCTAAGAAGAAGAAGAAGATGATGAAGATGCATCAGAAGAAGACAATTGCCAGCTGATCCGCACAAAAGCAGCAGAAAGGAGGAAGGCCGGGCCGCCGTCACAAGTCGGCAAAGCTCAGCTCGTACGGCAAACAACAAAGAGAGAATACGTACCTTCCTATCTGGTACGAGTATTTCATGCCAATCGTTAATTATCTGCTAGCTAAACTAAACAATATATTAGCCCCTTCTGACCTACCTAGTACTACTACTACCTCCCTTGCTTTTGATCATCCGTTTAGGATCTCAAGTTATTCACTGACAATATAATAATCCATTCTCTTTCTGTTGTTTTTTTTAAAAAAATTTACGGAGTAAAGACAGAAGGGAAAAAGGGAAGGAGCAGGATTTGGCCTACATTTTGGTGTGATAGGTCTTTGGGTGCATGGTGGCATTGGTCCCTCAAGAACACAGTTGCAGGGCACTATGTGGACTGTACCCTAAGGCACAGCCAGCAAAATGCAGATGGTCACTCTGCACTGTCTGTCTGATGAAGGGCCAATTGAACCTTAGTGGCGAAGGCTTCCAAAAAGTGTACCTGCTGAGATTCCCTTAGGTTTGGCTATGATGAGTTAATGGAATAATCAGGGGTGCACTGGTTCTATCATGAGAATTTGTTAATTTGAATTTTGAGGGAGGGAACTTTGCTTTATTTATTTTTGTGATAGATAAACTTACCCAAATCATATAGTTGTGTTCTTTCAGCTGGAAATGGTGTTATGTTTTCTTCTGTGAGGGAGGTGCTCAATGAGTTTTTATCCTTAAATGACATTTCTTTTTGGCAAATATTGAATAAGAATACATATCCTATATAGGTAACACCTCCTTATATTAAAATTAGCTCAATTCAATACATTACATGTCACTGAGTTTGTCACAGGTTTACAATTTGCCTCTGACTTTATCACACTCTATGATATGCCATCAACTTTTATTTAACTTCTACATTTACCATCGTCGTCCGGTTAGTCTCCGTTAATACTTACATACCCAAATGACCAAAATACCCCTAGGACGAAAACTTTCAAAATTTGGACAAAAATTCCAAAATATCATATTATAAACATAAGATTGTAAATATCCAAAATTTGGCCAAAAATTAAAAGTATGATATTTCAGAATTTTTGTCCAAATTTTGGAGTTTTTTATTCCCAAGGGTATTTTAATCATTTGGATAAAATTATAAAATACTAATAGAGGCTAACCGGGCATCGATGGTAATTTGTAAAAGTTAAGCAAAAGTCGATGGCTCATTGTATAACATGACAAAGTCGATGGTAAATTCAGATCTATGACAAACTCAATGGCATATAATGGATTCTGTCATCAATGTAACACCAATTATATGCTAGGGTAACTCAATTTTTCAACATACTCCCTCCGTTTCACAATGTAAGTCATTCTATCATTTCTCACATTTATATTGATGTTAAGTATTATATATGGAAGGAGAATGTGTCACGACGAGAGAGTATCACATGCTAGACTAGTGTGGCGCGTGTTATTGGGTGAACATGTCTTATTTGGCATCCCATTTCTATATCTCTTGTGCAATTAGTGGTAGATCCAAAAATTTTCTAGAGCCTAGGCATGGGCGTCATTAAACTCTGAATCTCTGATGGCAAAGAGTGCCTGCTTGAATGTATCAGGCCTACGAGCTCAGCCTAATCTTCAATTCCAGGTTGAAAGACTCAAATTATTCATGAAACTCGATCCGTTGGAACGTAAGAACTTACAAGATTTTCATAGGATTTAGTTCAGTTCTTGTAAAGATCATCCGAAAATCCATGTTGATCCAAAAAGGGCCTTGAAGCTCTTAGTTAATTTCCACATTATTATCTAAAAAAAAGTTAATTTCCACATTAGAGCTTCAAAAAAATTACTAAAGATTGATGCTTTAGGCTTGGTTTAGTTCCCAACTTTTTCTTCAAACTTCGAACTTTTCCATCGCATCAAAACTTTCCTACACATATAAACTTCCAACTTTTTTCTTCAAACTTTCAATTTTAGTCAAACTTTCAATTTTAACGTGGAACTAAACACACCCTCAGTTGAAAGTTTGAACCAGTTGTTTTGAGAACACCCTAATTAAACTTTCTCCATTTAAAACCAAGGGTTTCAACAGAATTGAAATTTAGTGGGAAATCATTTAAATCGATATATGGAAGTAACAATTTCGGGTTGGAGAGGGTGTGCTTCCGCCACTATCATCTGGCACAAACAGTGTTGTAAATAAAACTAGCACTTGCTAAGATTCAGGGGCTATTAATTTTATCACCCAGTCCTCCACTGAAGAACAATGCAATTAAGCTGAATCATACATACATTTCAATATGGCGCCACCGGTGAACATGGAAACAAATAGTCTTTGAATAGCACAAAAGTATCGAACCCAATGACAAGAAACAAAGCAATCACTCAAGGGGAGCAACCTCAATCTAGTACAGTTGCAAGTTGCAAACTCTCTACAAGCACAAGATATTTTTCCCACAAAACATCAAAAGAAACATGCCAATCCATGAATAGCTCAGTACAAACTTTTGCACGAGAGCTAGCCATGCATGCAATGAGACATGCAACCTATAATTGGGACCATGGCACAACTCACAGCCATCATAAACTTTTAGAGATGATGTTGCATTGATGTTGGTGCCACACTTTAGTCATTTTTGCCAATTAAGCATTAGATAGATCCTCCTTTGCTATAGATCACTTTTGCTTTAATCTTTCACCAGCCTTTTGATGTAGTAATAAGTTACTTTTTCCTCTTCCCTGTAATCCTCCTCTCCTCTCCTTTTCTCTCAGTGCCCATAATTCTGCTAGCCAGCTACCATATGCAACTTTTTCCATCCATGTGATGGTGAAGCTTCATGGAAGAAGAAGATAGAAGCCATCACCCCTATATATACCCATGCAACCCTACAAAACAAACTCCATGCCAAAACACATAGATCTCCATTGCATGCATGCAGTACATTGCTAGCCACAGCTATAACCCACTATAGGAGATTATTAGTGCACAATATCATCAACATAATTGTGTGATTTTGTGCCAAGTAAATTGATCTGAGCTGCATTCAATTGGTGGTTCATTGTTCATTTTGGTTTAGAAGATGAAGAAGGCGTCCAGGTTCTTGAAGGGTCTCTTGTCGGCCATCGTGGCGGCGGTGAAGGCGAGGTCGGCGGCGGTGCGCGCCAAGACGAGCGCCGTGAGGACGCGCCTCATCGTCTTGGGCATCCTCCGCAACAAGAAGCTCCTCCTCAGCGCCATCAACAGGAAGATCCACGCCATCGTCAGCAGCGGCGGCGGCGGCGGCAGCAGCCATGGCGAGTACGGCGGCGGCGGCGAGAGCTATGGCGGCGAGCAGCAGCAGCACCTGAGTGGCATCCACCTTGTCGGCGGCGGCGGTTACAGGAAGGCCGCCGTGCTGCATAGCCTGCCGAGCTTCGTGGTGGAGCAGGAGAGGAGCGCCGTCGTGCTGCTCAGCAGCCTGCCGAGCTTCGCCATGGACAGGGACGTCTACGGCGGCGGCGGCGAGGCGGAGGCGGAGGAGGAGCAAGGAGTGGGTGGGAAGCAGCAGCAGCAGTCGGTGATCGAGCTGGCGCGCGGCGCGGCCGCTGCGGAGGCAGGCGGCGGCGCGGAGTTCAGGCTGGAGGACGAAATCGACCACGTCGCCGACGTATTCATCCGGAGGTTCCACGAGCAGATGAAGCTGCAGAAGCTCGAGTCCTTCAAGAGGCTCTGCGAGATGCTCGACAGGAGCTAATTTAATTTAAACTAAGCCATCGATTTAGTGAGAATTTGCATGGTACTAAGGCAGAGTCTGAGGGCGTAATTAGAATAAGTGACGATGGAACTATATGTATGTACTCATGCTCTTTCGTTTTAGAGGAGAATTGATGTACCAACACGAGTCCTAATGAAGGAATAAGAGATCAGACTACTTTTTTTTTTGGGAACGTCAAAATTTCACACAGAACACTTGCTCACATTCTTCTAGGAATTTTTCTCGCGTGCTAAATGGGATTTTAGAACATTTTTAGCCTGATGACAAAAATGATGTCCGAGCTAATGAGCTAGTATTATACAGTCGATCACATCAAAGGATTCTTAAAGATTAGGATTAACTATTCTGCAGAATGATCATGGTTCTAATGATTCCTTTCTGGATGTGTTGGCTGTGATTTTTGTTCTATTCGATGGTGTTTGTAAAAAGGGATATGTAAAAAAGACGCCGTCTGCTTGACCACTCAGTTTACACTACAGAAATCTGGACACTTTAACTGTTAAGGAAAAAGAACTGAATTTGGTCGGTAAAGGGGTTACTCAAACATGCATCCCACCACAAAAAAGTCTTGGCTTGGATAGAAACGCTTTACACAAGAAACATATCCGCACAAAATTTTCGGTGCCTAAGTTTTACAAAATTACAAATCTCATCAACTCTAAACTGAAATATATCTTGATTATTTTGCACTAACGCACACTGAATCAAGAGAGATGGAGGACTGAAAATCTGGCATGCGTCCGTTTCAGAATCGGGCAAATTCCATATGCCAGCAGAATCAATCCACTGATTCCAAATCCCAGTCCAATCTTAATAAAGTTTTGCTATATTTCTGAGGCAGCATTACATCAGACTTCTGATAATGTAGTGAAATCAGTTACAAAATTCACCAGGAAACATCACTCTAGTAATATCATAAGATATCCAACTGTACATAACACAGAGCGGCACAAATGCACAAGTACTTTTTTCCGGGAAAATGCACAAGTACTACAATGATATGTGCGGGTGACGAAAAAAAAGATGTCAACTCTACTGTGTTTAATAGCACAATCTGTACGTCCTGCAAGTTAGAAATAGAAGAACGGAAATTTCAGATTTCATATCTGAAAGTAAAATGACATGAACTCCGTAGGGATTTAAACAGAAATAAATCAGTAAAGAGGATCCTTCTGAAATTTGGAAGGAAATGTCTATACATATGACTAGCGTGTACCATTTGTGTCTGACTAGTGCAAAGCTGCTACATGCCTAGGCCCACATGGGAAGATGTTGAGAGTGTTGATTGGTGGTCGGATGTGAGTCCTACAGCTTCAGTCGTACGTATAGCAGAACTCAATTTGGAATTACTGAAGGATACAGAACACAAAACCAAGTATTACCAGTTGTTTTTCTTTAGTGTCAGAAATATCAACGTTGCGCCATCTTATTACTGTTTAAATCCACCCCTTTGCTTCACTTTTGAACGGTTCTATCTTGAAAGAGACTGCAAATCCTTCATCCATTCCCAGATTAACAAGAAAAATAGCAGCAGAGAACCAGAAACAGTTTAGAATTTTATACTGTTATGCAAAGGGAACAAAAGAGAGGTTGAGAAACACAAAATTGCAAAAGAATAAAGCCAAAACTTCAGTTTGAAAGAGAAAATGATTGAACTGCGTGGTGATTTCTTTAGCATAAAAGGAGCTAAAGAGACCATTTACCATTCTTCTACAGCCTTTTATTTCGGTTTTGAATTGCAATATTTACTTGCTTGAGACTTACAGAGAAAATCTTATATCAATTCAGCGATTTGCTTCTCCACAAAACTACAAAATTGAAGCAGCCTTCACTTATAAACATATTCAACAGAATATGAACATACTCATAAGATAAAAAAGGCCATTGTGTTTAGGTTAACTGTAAAATAGAGGGGAAATATTTTGAGTAAATCAGAACTAGATTATTGGATAAATATAGCTAAAGATAGTTCACAGGAGGCATAATACAGCAAGCGTACAAAGAAAAGTAGAATAACAATCGAAGAAGTCCAATGATAAACAGTTAAGATTTGATGAAATATGTAACAAAATAGTTCATATTGATTGATTTTAACTAACAACAGGAGATAAGTCATCTGACATGAAAAATATATATTTCAGATGAAAATGGTTTTAAAATATACATTTACTGGCTGGATAACTAAAGCATGTTTACTTAAATACGAATGGCATGGAAATAAATTCAGAAACCTAGCAAGAAGAAGGAAACATGACGCTAAGAAGACACAATCATATATTTTTCAACATCATATGATGTAAGAAAGCCCAACGATAGCCAAGCTCAGATGTTGCACCTTTGCTCTCTAGTTACTAGAGTTCAATTCCCATAAATCTGTTTTCTTTTTTTCTTTTGTTGATTTTCCACTGTTGTAAGACCTTACAAGAGTACACTAGCCAATTGTTCCCAATTCCCACCCTCAGAAAAAATAACTGTACATGTAGAATTTGCATTGGTAAGCCATGGCATATGAAATTATCAATCAATGTGTCAATAATTATAGCACGTATTCATTGGGACCCCCAGTATCATTTGCATAGCAGATCTTCCCTTTTTTTTAATCTCATTTTGTCGATTTCGATAAGTGCTATTCACATGATTCCAAAAGATGTATGTCTCGGATCTTAGCTAAGTAGCTACTTGAAATGTGCATTCATTCAATCACTTTTGTTTACCTGGTACTAATAAGTTTCTACATTTATCCTGCAGACATGACATGTCATATTATCGTATCCAAATTTCAGATTATGATTGCTTTTGGGGTACCTGCTATCAAGGGTTGGGAAACATTTCAGGAACTTCGACCATTATTCAGATTTTTGTAGAATTTAGCTCCAACTGACACATATTTTCCTTCTCTCCACACAAAGGTCCATTTACAATATTCAATGTTGTAAATTTTAGTGTACATAATGTGATTAGAAAACAATTAAACTTAATTAGTGATGCTTTGACATCAAACAATTAAGAGATAATGATGCAAGGGAATCATACTTGTCAATACTGTTTAAAAAAACATTGGTGGAATTTGCTGTTTTAACAGGAACAAAAATTTCACCTAGTGGTAATATAAATACAAAACCTCAAAAAATTAGCAGAGGCGCAAAGCAGAGATAGATGATCCACACACTAGTAGTACAGTGTGTACTAATGAAAAAACAACGTGTAGTGCCTGTTCTTTATATGAATACTAGTTTGTAAGTATGAACTATGAACAGCATAACTACAATCAGTATCTCACTATCTCCTGGAGCAGGTATGAGGACATGAACATGCACTCCAATTTCATTCAAATATTTTACTTGAGCAACATCTACAAGGGAAATCAGATACCAAAGGACGAGTAATTTACATTGTTTGTGGAATGCACTCATGAATTCAGGTGTGCTATGCTGAGTACGATACTTGAATGTCAAAAGCCTAATATACATGAATTCAGGTGTGCAAACCAAGCTTTAGAGAACAAGAGGTTTCAGCATTGAGTGTACTGTTAACAGGGACCATTGATATTTCATTGTTTGCCAAGAAACGTGCTTATTCATAAGCTATTGCTAGAGAAGATTCTAAGTTCTAAATAACCATAAGGAAGACGGCAAACTTTAGGAGAACAAATAAGCAAAAAGGTTTATTTTCAAGCTCATTACAGTCAAGTAGTTTTAATGTTCAAATCATTAAAGGACACTTTTAAGCCTGTGGTTGCAGTATCAGTGTTATATATATAATATTAAATAAGTTTACAGGAACATAAATTTTGTAACAGTAAAATTCGACCGACAAAGTCTCGGGTTGTGGTGCATACTTTAGCATGGAGTTTCTTCCAATGCTACTGAACATCATATTTCTTCATAACCCTTAATAGGTTATTCCTAAATGGCTGCACTAGTAATGGTAAACCCAACTCTACCCAATTGAACAAGTTCTTGGGCCTTTTGATGTGTTAAATAGTACTGAAAATCTAGAAGAGCTAACACCCAGAAAAAAACAGCAAGAGATAGAACAGAAACAACACATGTACAATATTCCTTAGTACACACCTTGCAACAGTGTGCATAACGAAAGGTCCTTGTATTGTATTATGGTGTTGCAATGACTACTAAAGGTAGCAAGAACACACATGAAAGAAGTGTAAAGCAATTTACAATCCTTGGACAAAATCATACCTTTAACAGGGCTTGCCAAATATGAACTATGTTCTTCTTCTAGAGTGGTTGGCTGGCCCCGGTGCACCCTCAAACAAATCAGAAAGCTGACTTTCCAAGTCCTCTGGGGTGTATTTTATATATTTCCCTGAATTTCTTCCCCCATCCACTTGGCTACCATATCTTCCCAAAAAAGCACGATATGCCGGAATAACATTTTCAGATATGGATATTTTCAGCTCTTCTCGGAGCTGAGGATCTGGAACTTTCCAGGTTGTTTGGTTCCTGTATATTTCCTCAAAGGCCAGGTTGAAGTTCTTGAACTTCTCCTTGATGGACATCCGAGAACTTGAATGCCCACTGCCACTGCCGCTGCTGCTGCCGCTCCCACTTCCATGTCCATCATCCTTCAGAAAAGATAAAACCTTCATCCAGGAAATCCTTAGGTAGCTCTTTGAATACTGCCGGATCTTGCCATTACGCCTTTTTACCCAGTGATCACCTAAAATCTTGCCGAGCTCAGAGTCCCTCACCTTTTGAACAATGTACAGCAAATTGTTCATGGAAAATATGCACTCCAGGGCGCTATCTTCATACAGCTTAGATTTTTCCTCCAAGTTAGCCTCCAAATAAGATATCAGCTTCAAAAGGCGCTTTCCAAGAGGGGTCATGCTCTCCAAGTGTTCCTGATCCTGATCCTCAGCTCTTGCCAAATCAATTTGGTCATCGGCATTGTCATCCAAGAGGGCATCAAGTGTGTCGCTGTAAACAACCAGAAGCCTCAAATAGTTCATGACGTAGCGTGTCATGGGGTGGATCTCACCAGCTGTCATTGCCCTCCGTGATGACTCCAGCTGCAAAACCTTCCCAAACTCGAAAAGTGTACCCCTAATGGCATCCCCAAGCCTATCAAGATTCGCCTGAACATCGCTGATCACACCATCCCCAGAACTGCCCAAGCACAAATCCTTCATCTCAGGGATCACCTCTGCAAGTGCCTCATACATGTCAAGAATCCGCGAGAGCTTCTCTGGCGAGCGGGGACACACAGCCACAGCATCCCCAAAGCTGAGAATCTGCATAATACAACCTTTGGTTGATTCGATGAAGCACTCCTCCCTGAGCTCATCGGACACACTGAGCACCTGATCGCAGAGGCGTCGCTCACCAGCGAGCAGGACACGCACGACCGTCTTGACCGCCTGCACCCACTTCTTCATCTTGTCATTCAGGTGCTTCCACTCGATGCGCTGCACCTCGTCAATGCTGAGGCGCTCGACGCCGAGCGCGGAGAGGTACTCGTCGAGCAGGTCACGGCGGATGCCGCAGTACGCGTCGGCGAGCTCGCGCGAGTACCCGGCGCGCGCCATCCGGTCGGCGATGGCGCGGAGGTCGTCGACGGCCTCAGGGCGCACGGGGTCGAACACCTGGTCCTCGAAGGGGTTGACCAGGGGCCCGCCGCGCGCGGTCTCCGGCGCGACGTCGATGCTGTGCGGCGTGGCGGCGTCGAACTCGGAGGAGGTGTCGAGGTCGTCCATGGAGCCGAGCGAGAGGCGGCGCAGGGAGAAGAAGAGGCCCGTGGGGTCGAGCGGCACGGCGTGGCGGACCATGAGGTGGCGCAGCTCCTCCTCGAGGCGCGCCATGGCGAGCTGCACGGCGACCCCGGCGCGGCCCGCGGTGGAGGAGGAGGAGGACCCCGCGCCGCCGGCGCCGCCGCCGCTGCCGCGCGCGAGGTGCTCGATGGCCACGTCGACCGCGGAGAGGTACTCGGCGACCTCGTCCTCGGTGGCCTCGAAGACGAGCGCCTCCGGGGTGCCGTCCCAGACCTGGATGAGCTGCTCGGCGGCGTCGAAGGCCGCGGCCGAGATCTGCCCCCACAGGGGGTTCCCCCGTTCGTCGGAGTCAGCGGCGAGGTCGGGGGAGGGGAAGAGGTCGGAGGTGATCTGGGAGAGGCGGTTGTCGAAGCCCGAGAGGATGCGGATCATGTCGTCGGCGGCGTTCTTGGATGTCGCCAGCGACTTGACGATGTGCTGCGCCGCGGCGAGCACCTTGTCGCCTCCGCCGGCGGCGGCGGCGACCGGGGACTCCGGGGGGGGAGGCGGGGGCGCCGCCGACATCGCCGACCAATCGGGGGGATTCGGTGGGGAGGGGAGCGGAGGTAACTTGGGTGTTACGCTGCTTTGCCTAGTTGCCTTCTCTGCTTTGACTGCTAGTGTGCTAGTGCTTGGTGTTGGCTGGCTTGGATCGCCGAATCGTCGGGTCGGGTCGGGTCGCGTGTCCGACCGGTCGCACTGGTGGTGGACTGAGAAGGCGAGCTCAACGCTCAACAGTGGCGATGATTTTTTATCTTTTGGGGTTGGGGTTGGAGTTGGACGGCCGGGGGAGCCATGCCCCAAGGTCGTGTACAGTGGACCGACGACCACTGCTCCACTACCACCAGCAGTGGCCGGCCGGCGTGTTGCCCCCTACCCATGTTGCGTCTTCTTCTATTCTTCTTGGGTCTCAGTCTTAAATATATCTCTCAACTAGATATAAAACATCCTCCAACTTAATAAACCGTGTAAAAGAGGTCCTTCAATAATATTGTACCTGGTTTTGGCTGACTTGACGTCTGCGTGGCTCCTTTGACTTTGACTGGTTCTTCATCGTACGTGGTGTTGACGTGTCACTTAGTGACAATTGGGTCCGGAAAAACAATAAAGCATATGGGCCCACATGTCAGTTTTACATACACAATAATAATAAAAGGTTTCCCCACGTGGCCCCACCTGTCATCCTCACTACTCCCCTCTTCTCTCTATCCTCTCTCTCCGGGCATTGGAGCGGGGCGGACAGTGGCCGGAGCGAGCGACGGGCGGGCAGGAGCAGGGCGGGCGGAGGCCGCATGAACGCAGCGTCATTCTCCACCAGCAAGATGGATAGCGCGACGCTCTTGATGCCCAACACCCTGTTGATGTTGTGTTGGATGGCCTTCCCGCACACCCATGCACGTGTAGTCGATCCGGTTGCTATCGTCGGCAAAGGTGAGGCGCGCGACAACGACGTCCTTCTCGAACGCGATGGCGTGGAAGGAGGAGCGGGTACAGACAAGCATATAGGAGATGTCGTCGAGGACAGCGTCGGACTACGCCTGGTCGGCGTGGACTAGGGAGAGGACGTGCATGGTGATGGTGGCCCTCCGCGCGATGGTGACGTTGGCAAAGGGCCTCGTGGACTCACGCTTGGACGAACGCACTGCAATTGAGGTTCGGAAAGGTAGACCTAGTTGGAGGGCACCGCGAAGGAGAAACCCCGGCGGATGGTGACAACCCCGTGAGCTTGGATTTGGAGCAGGCAGAGGCCAGGGAGCGAAGGGTGGCGAGGATGGAGGCGTCAGGGCAGAGCTTTGAGCGAAGTGACTCGGCGTAGGACGCATCCGTGGAGGCCCGCGGCTTCTTAGAGGCGGAGCATGACGTGGTCGCGCCTGCCCCACCACAACGCTTCTTCTCCGACATGTCGAGAGATTTGGGGTCGTAGTTGCAGGGGTGTGGGGATAGAAGTCGAAGGACGATGACGACGACGACTGAGACCCAAGTGGGCAGAGCCGCTCTGCTCCACCCATCGCCGCTCCGCCCGCTCCGTGCCACTGCCTCGCTCCGCCCCTGTGCTCTGTCCCGTCACCACCTGTCGCCCCACTCCTCCCCTCTGCCCCGCCCCGTTGACATCCCGCTCCGCTTTGCCAGCCTACTCCGCCCACTGCTGCTCTAGCCACTGCCCGTCCTGCCCGTCGCCTGCTCCAGCCACTACCCACCCTATTCCACTGATCGGGGAGAGAAAGAGAGAGCGGATAGAGAGAAAGGGCGGAGAGAGGATAGAAAGACAAGGGTAGTGAGGATGACATGTGGGCCCACTGGTTTTATTATTTTTTGGGATTCAATTGCCACGTAAGCGTCACGTCAATGCCACGTGAAACGAAGACCTAATCAAAGGAGTCACGTAGGTGCCACATCAGCCAAAACCGGAGATAATGTTGCCGATGGACCTCGTTAGCATTGGTTTTGTAAGTTGGGGGATGCATTATATCCAGTTTTGTGGTCTAGGCATGAATTTTGAACTCGGTGACAAATTTGAGGGACCCAAAGTGAACTTTTTCCTTTTCTTGGTTCCATTTTTTTTAGGTGCAGAAAAGGAATAAGTCCATTTTTCCTTCCTCAACTCATGCCCCTGATTGAATCACACCCCTCAACCGCAAAACCAGGTATAAGACATCCCCTAACTCTCGAAACCGTTTGCAAATCAACTCCCCGGACGGTTTTGGAGGCGGTTTTGTCCTATGTGCCGCTTATATGGCGGGTTGACTTGTCTTCATCCAATGTGGCATCAACGTGGTGCTTGTGTGGCATAAAAATAAAACAAACATAAATAGGACCCACATGTCAGTGAGCAAAACAATAAAAATACATATTGGCCCAGAGAGGTCCTACCCTGCGCGCAGCGCGGCCAGCCGGCGAGGTCCTCCCCCGCGCACGGCGCTCTGGCCGGCGAGCGAGCGCCTCCCCCGCGCACGGCGCTCCGGCCGGCGAGCACCTCCCCCCGCCCGCAGCACAGTTGGCAAGGTCCTCCCCCCGCACAGCCGTTGTTGCCGCCCTGCCTCTGTGCTTATGGAAGACGAGAGAAGAGGAAGAGATGAGAGAGAGAGAGAGAGAGAGATGAGGTGGAGGCTGCCGACAAATGCGTCCCACCTATGACTCAGCGAATCAACTATCACATCTGATGAAACCGCCTACGAAACCGCTCAGGGAGTGATTCAACTAGGGGCATGAGTAGAGGGAGGCAAAACAGACTTATTCCTACATGAAAAGGGGCCTTTGAGGCTCGGGCCTTGGGCCTGGTATGTCACCTACATGTCATCTTTTTAGGTTAAGTTCACTTTTAGGTCCCTCCATTTGTCGCTGAGTTTAAATGTCGTCTCCGAACCGCAAAATCGAATACAACTGTTAACACCAAATTTAGTAATATTCTTTAGCGGATTTGGATATGTAAAGAATACAATCAGCCAATGAAAACTTTATCTAAAAGAGATCAAGTTCAAGAATTAATCGTGAAGACACACGGCAGCTTGATTTATCTATTAATTAGGCAGGGCTTACTAATTTTCCTTTTAATATTTAAGAAAGTGTGTTTAGTGTCGAATCAGGACTCTAAACAGCCTATGGGCATAAATATGTACACTGGGGTTATTGTAAACTATCTCTCGATCAATACAACTTTTGGCACATCACCACCCTCTGTTCCGAGGTTTTTATCACCGGCTGCATCGTTTCGATCTCCGGCGAAGGGATAAGTCCTAAGTTCCACTGGCTCTGTTATCGGTTATATTGGTGTTGTTCAAGACTGCATCGCTTCAATATCTTGGATTGCTATAGTTCAATTGGTATATTTGCTTACCCGATATTTCAATTCTATCTTTAGTTGCATCGTGTCAGGGTTATGGGTAAGGTATACCCTCTACCCTTCGATATATGTCACATATCGATATGGTATACTTGCGCGTATACGGACGTTTTCGGCATACGTTAAGGAAATTCATCACGGAGTTCACAGATGGAAGGAGTCCTACTCGTACGGAACTGGGTCGTCATTGTATCGTGTCGGGTCCGATGTCTCCGAGTCCTACTTGAAGACCAGTTGACCTGCGATATAAAAGGAACCCCCGGGAGGACCTAAGGCATCGAATCTCATAGCCAACACATCCACCACAGCCTACGGAGTTGAAGCCTACAGGAGCCAAGTCGCCGGGAGATCTAATCGAACATGTTCGATTATGATCTCGTCGGTATCATCGAGTTCCGCTATTCCCTTTGTAATATGTGGTTTCCATCATATAATCCCATATCAACTGAATTAGGGCTATTACCTATCAAGGGGCCTGAACCAGTATAATTTTTGTTTTCTGTTTGCCTGATGTCGTATTACGTAGATCCTCGTACCAGCGTACCCCAGTACCCTTTATATCCGGTCTACGGGTATCCCCCGTCGACACATCGTGTTTAGTTGGGATTATCTCGGTTAGGTCTAATCTTCTGTCTTAGCCGACATATCTCTATACAATATCTATCACTTTATACATGATTTATTGACTTTATTCGATTTATTTGTTGCTGTAAACTTAATGCTGTATCAGTTTGTGGTCCGAGTTCGACCTATGACTACACGCACCTCGGCCGCCCACCGGCATACTACTGCACGCACTGTGTGTGTCATGAGCCTAGCTAGCTACGGACTGGGAGAAACGTACTACCATCTCCCAGGCGCTTGCTCATCGCACTAGTCGATTGCTTACATGCTGTGTTGAAAGATCGGTTGGTGTGGTACGCGTATGTGTCGCAGGGGAAAACATTGGATCAACGCTCGCTCGCTCGCACGTTTCTCGTAAGAAAAAGGTGAGGTGTGGCACTGGCAGGAAAGCGGCGTATATATATATGTTAGGTGGAGCTAGCTATAAGGAAAGAACAGCTCCATCTTTTCGTTTATACCTATACTTATCAGCTAAAATTTAAATTTTTAATCTTAAATTTAAAGTTGATTTTGAGATTTTTTTCATCGGAGTTTATTTTTCAGTCTTTGTTTTTATATCGCTAAGAACACATATATAAAAGTTTTATTCACAAATTATGTTTCGTTTGTAAATATGTCGTTTGACTTAATAAGCCAAACGATGAGAACCAAAATTGTCGGGAATTATTTAGGTTATTATTTTTTCGTGGCCGTTTTCTAGTTCCACTGTGTGTTTGGTGTGGGTACCGCGTGCAGTGCGTGATGAGACACTACTTCGCAAGAGTTCCATCTTTCTGCCCTTTTATTTTACACGCATATATTTTCTGAAATGCTGTTATACAGTACTGTTTTTTAAAAGAAATACATAAATAATCACTTTAAAAAATCATATTAAAACATTTAAAAAATTTTAAACTGATATTTAATTAATTATGTGCAAATGAGTTAGTTAGTTTTCCATCCTCTGAGGAACATCGTTCCATGGACTGGGCCCGATGGCGAGATTAATTTTTTTTTCTAGGCTGGGATCGAGACAAGCAGGAAAGGTTATCAGCGTGTACTCACTAAACGCGAGGTTGATTGCGTGATCCATCTTTGCTTAGGGCACCCGTAATAGTTATCTATAAGCTCTTTATAAAAGATCCATGTCAACATATTTTTCTATTTGGAAGAGATTAAATAAAGAAAGAGAGTAAAGCTATTTACTAACCTGAAGATAGTATATAGAGAAAAACGAGATAATGGATTAGAGAATTGTAGAAACCCATGTAGACATACTATTGAGATGTTTTAC